CAGTGCCTAACGACCTCATGTCTCCCAGTTATGACTCTGATCCGTATTCTGCCTTACAGCAGGAGGATCCCAGGGACAGCCTATTCTCGGGGCCACTACTTGCTGTTCTACATATTCAAAGTTGCTAGCTACGGCTGGAAGTTACAGGTACGTTCGGGCAATATGTGTGGAACAATCTGAGAAAGAAAAGAGATTGGATTGGCACACATGGATTTAAATACATCTGAGCTCATCTTAGCTTCGCCCGAAGGCTACTAGTCACCGACCCTGCGTAGAAGGGTGAGCTCGTCGCCGGTGCCCCCCCGGCCCTTATCCCCAATCCTCCACCGGCCGCTGGGCGCTAGAGTAAGTGCCACATCCACAGTATACAACACTCACAAGTCAAAGCAAACATCTCCCCAGTACTGCTGCTATAGGCACCGAGATTAAGCTCCCCCAGCTGAGCCCTGACCAAACCCTGGAGATCTTGGATGATCAGTCAATACTGATAGGCTCAATGCCACGCTCCGCCGTGGGTTTGCGAGCAGGGAGTATCACCTAGTGGTAATGAGCTACGATTTCTGTAGGTATGTTGTAACCTCCAAGATTCGGAATTCTGGCTATGACCGATTCACTACAAGACAAGTTTACAATATAACTCTTGTGGTCTGGAGAATATTCTGTATAGGTGGGTCCTGACTCCTGGCACAGATCGACAGCAGGCGGAGATCGACACACTACTGATCCTCATCGATATACAGCCTATGCCAACAACTACTAAAACCATTCGACTAAAAAGGTGTCTAGACAACCATTTCTAGTGTAGTAGAAATAGTAGTGCAATATGTGTTCGACACACCCCCCAGGTATGGCGGCGTAGCAATGTCGTAGCGGCATACCTCAGCCTTCTCATACCATATTTTTGTTATATATCTTGGATTCTTGGTTAGGGCTTCTTATTACACAGCCTAACCTCATATGCTCTATTTAGTTTATCATTAATCCATGATCAGTGATATTGTGATCTGTATTTTCTGTGATTCATTATTTCTGTGATCCATTTATTTAGTCATAATTATCAATGCATACTGTGGGAATCAAACCTAGGGCTTCAGTGGTTACAGGAGGCTTCTGTAGCTTCTAATGTAAGCATAACAGTCCGCGCAATCAAGCCAAAACCCCATCCTACCAGGAGCATTGACATCATGAAACAGAAGTCGAATATGCTATATATGTAAGCCTTTAATTCAAAACTAGAGACATAAAGTACCCTTATTTGTAACACAGCCTTCATCTAGCTTTATGCTTCAATACAGGGCAAAGAACAGCCACCCTTACATCTGTGCAAAAGTAAAGGAGAGTAATGAATTAGAACTATACCTGAAACCTCCCAGTCTTCCCAGACATGAGAAGTAGCTCATAGTCTATCCAACGAGTAGGCAGCGGGCAGCCCTGTAATACCTTTAGGGGCAGGGCAGTCTTTTGCATAGTACGGAGTAGGAATCATCCACTCGGCTAAAACCTTTGCCGCCAATGTACCCGAAGGTGAGATTTGGCAGATTCGCGGTCTGGGGAAAAATGAACGGCAAATGCTCCCAGTCCCAGATGCTCACATTTGACTCAAGACAGCGATCTTTCACACTGAGGCACCTCTTAGTCTCAGGCCGCTAATATGTTCCTTCCTCTACCTCCTCGTCATTCGTCGCATTTCAATAATCTCGACGCCTTCCCCGACGCCTTCCCAGCTGTGATTGTGAGATTACCATCGTCTTATCGCTCTCGATTGCCTTAACTCCGACCACGCGCTGTTATCTTTCACCCCGTTATACTTGGACATACCAAGTTTTCACCAGTGCAGGTGCTTGAAAATTCGACTTATCGAGAGATGGCGCTCTTGAAAGTGAACAGCTTCGGTTAAATTGGGACAACTCTTGATTTCGCTTCTACGTGAAACAGTACATATACCACCGTCCACAGCGATGATGCCCCCAAGTTCGAGCGTCAATACTCCCCGGAGATTCGATCGTGACGCCTCCCTAGTGCTAGTTGGCATTCGAGGGTGTGGAAAGCGCTCTCTCGGCTTCGTTGCTGCCACCGCTCTCAAACGCCGTTTCATTACAGAGGATCATTACTTCAAGGAAGTTACTGGGTTCACGCGGCATGAGTACCTCAAGCGCCATGGCAGTCAAGAGTTTCAACGTCGTGATATCGATGTTCTCAAGAAGATGCTCGACAACCACCAATCACAGTGTGTCATTGAGTGCGGTCTTGGAAGCCTCACTCGGCCAGTTCAGGAGCACCTTCGTTTGTATTTGGCGAAGAACCCAGTCGTGTACCTTGTTCGTGACATGGATCGGATCCAAAGTTTGCTAGGTTTAGAGGATCAGGCTGTTAAGCTGCTGTGTGAGGGGGACCCCCTGCACAGAACTTGCTCAAATTTCGAGTATTATAACATAGAAGATCGTTCCAGTATGGCGGCTCAAACCGACGGAGAAACAACGGATCGCCGCTCTGTTAATTACTCCTTTAAACTCAGAGAGGCGAAGGAGGACTTCACCCGCTTCGTACGTTTTGTCACCGGCGCAGATGTGGACCAACCTGGCTACGACTCACCTTTCGTACTGTTGGAGACCCCCCCGGAACTTCGACCATTTACTCATGCAATCTTTGTTCGCTCCTCTGATCTAATCGAAGGGGTCGTCGACTTGGCAGAGCTTGAATCTGGTGGAGATGCCATTGAACTTTGCGTCGACTGCTGGAGTTCAAGCATGGCAAACACCATCAGCAAGCAAGTTTCTTTGCTTCGGAGGAATGCCCGGACACCCATCATACTCTCCATTGATACAAAAGCATCCGGAATCGGCAGCGGTGACCTCACATTGGCGCAGATTTCTGAGCTGTATTTCACCATCTTAGAGCATGGCTTAAGGCTGGCGGTGGAGTATTTAGCAGTCGATCTGGGCCAAGACCAACCTCTGTTGAATCAGGTGATTCGCAACAGAGGTAGAACCAAGATTATTGGGCATTATCTTTTCGAGCCGTCCTCTTGCGTGACGTGGGAGGACGAGGAATGCCTTTCTCTGTATCTCGAAGCAGAAAAGCTTGGTTGTCAAATCGTGCGTATTCTTCGAGTGGCCACTGAGCGGGAGGATAATGCAGCAGTGGGCAAATTTATCAACAAGATCCAATCCTTACCTGGTTCACACCCGCCGGTGATTGCCTACAATATTGGCAGTCTTGGGAGGACCTCGCAGGTGTTCAATTCGATATTGACCTCCGTGACACATCCGGCTATCAAGCGTCGCACAGACAATGGCAGGGATCCCCTCATTACTTCGCGAGACGCTGTTCAAGCCTTGTTCCAGAGCTATACGCTAGACCCCCTGCAATTCTACATCCTCGGAGGGAACGTGGCGTACAGTCTGTCTCCTGCCATGCACAATGCCGCTTTTCGGCACTGCGGCATGAGGCATACGTATAGCATTCCCGAGTCTCCTTCTCTTGCGGCGCTTGATCGGCTGGGCCGTGATTCGCATTTTGGGGGTGCGAGCATTGTGCAGCCGTGGAGAGTACAGGTCTTTCAGAGACTCGCATCGAAAAGCAGACATGCTGAAGCTATCGGGGCCATCAATACCATTATGCCCCTGCGTGCACGAGCTGATGGGACGATGTTTCCCTTACAAGAGCAGGCCAGCCGCCGTAACCAGGCGGGGCCTGTTCTCGGGTGGTATGGAGAAAACACCGACTGGGTGGGTATTATGACTTGTATCAGTCGTCACCTGTCTCCCCGTAATACGATCAGTCCTTTGAAAACAACAGGCCTGGTTATTGGAGCCGGTGGCATGGCTCGGGCCGCGATTTATGCTATGCTTCGGCTAGGTTGCCGAAAAATTTTCATATACAACCGAACCTTATCGCGTGCGGAGAGTGTCGCACGCCATTTCAATTCTTGGGCGGCATCGCAGGTGGGCTCAACCGAAGTAGTGCAAGTGTTGAAGTCCCTCCAAGATGAATGGCCATTGGATGCCTGTCCCCCATGCTTAATTGCCTCGTGCGTGCCAGCAGATCCTGACAGAGATGAACCTCCAGCCAACTTCGAAATGCCGACACAGTGGCTGGGAAGTCCAACCGGCGGCGTGATTTTGGAGGTAAGCAACTTTCATCGCATTTGATCCTGAAGAACCTAGCTGATCAATTTCGTTGACGCAGTTCGCATACAAACCCTTGGATACGCCCCTGTTGCGACAAATGCGCCGGTTTCGAAGTGAAACTGGCAGGCCTTGGGTTCTCATTGATGGGCTAGGGTTAGTCTCAGAGCAAGCAATCGCGCAATTCGAGCTCTTAACAGGACGGAGGGCACCTCGCCGACTGATGATCCTTGAGGCTCTTCAGAACTATGTCGGAGAGCACGGGGCTCTCGATGAGAAAGAGATTCAAGCAAGGCTAGGCCATATCTAACAATATATTATTCTTCAGAGAATGAGAGAGAGGTCGCATTTGACCTAGAGTACAAGTTATCGGCTATACTACGGGCACATGAAGACGAAGGAAGGTGATATCTTGGTGACTACCTAGATAGAGGGAAGGCTAGACTATGGGTCACTTGAAATATACGCTATACCTAGATAGACAGGAGCGAACCTCATAGAGGCCCCACGACACAAGTACATCCTCCATGTTACGATCTGACATACAAGAGGTAGGCAAGGCACCAAAACGGTGGTAGTCCCTTATTTGAGCTTCCAAGTTAAAGACCCGCTATATGCTTGACGTAGGGAACTGCACAGCAAAAGTATACCGACATCTGAAACAGAGATAAACAAAGTAAAGACTCGAGTCACACCTTGAGACGCAGGGTGGTGCTAATACTAATGGAGGATCGTCACGTGCACCGGGATAATGGTCCAGTCCGCAGTATGGCCATGATGGGTCACGGGTGATTGCGCGTCAGTAATTGAGCCATGTGCGTTGACAACGCCAGAATGGCCCCCTGGCTCTCACTATTCGGTAATTCATGATCAATGGGAAACAAAAAGGCTTCCATTCTCCCCTACCGCAGGGGTTCTGGGTCCTCAGAAGCGGATTTCTTTGATATCCCCGACGAGCCATGTCTTGCAATTGTGAAGCGGCAACTAAGACACATTCGGACCTGGATTTTCTTCGCGATCTTCATCCTTCTGATACTTTGGTTTCGCCGTGAAGCCCCTTCACCTGCTCCTGTCTCGCATATCGACTATGGTAAGGTTGATTGGTCGCGTTACGCCTACAGTCAGTATGCGACGTCGAGCGCATATCTTTGTAACGCCGTGATGGTGTTTGAAGCCCTGGAGCGGTTAGGTAGCCGAGCGGATAGAGTTCTTTTCTACCCCGAAGACTGGGATATGTTTGTTGCAGATGATCGTGACAGGGACAGCCAGTTGCTACAGCTCGCCAAGGAGAAGTATAAGGTGTTGCTGATACCTATTAGTTCAGAAATGATCCAGGCTGGAGGAGGTATGTGAGGGGTTTACAGTCGCAGTTCGGTCGTTCTCCAAAAGCAGAGCTGGCGCTAACTTTGATGACAATCGACACAGGCTCTGGCGAATCTTGGGATAAGAGTATCGCGAAATTGCTCGCCTTTGGCGAGACAGAATACGATCGCGTCATACACCTTGATTCCGACGTGACCATTCTCCAGAAGATGGACGAGCTTTTCTTCCTCCCACCAGCCAAAGCCGCCATGCCACGAGCTTACTGGGCGCTCCCGGATACAAAGCAACTATCGTCCCTGCTGATCGTGATTGAACCTTCTTATCGCGAATTCAAAGCCCTTATGGAGAGTGCTCAGCCAGCTCTCTACGGTCAAGTGGGAGTTGATTCGAATGAAACAACACATAGATATGATATGGAGCTGTTGAATAATCGCTATGCCGATTCGGCCTTGGTTCTTCCGCATCGGCAGTACGGCCTAGTCACTGGCGAGTTCCGGAAAAAAGACCACAGCAATTTCCTTGGAAATGACTATGAGACTTGGGATCCTGACAAGGTCTTGGCAGAAGCCAAGCTCGTGCACTTCTCTGACTGGCCTTTGGCTAAGCCGTGGGTCATGTGGCCGGTTAGTTTGCTGGCTGAGATTCAACCCAGGTGCGACTACAAACCCGGCACACCTCAAGAGAAAGGGTGCCGTGATCGGGAAGTATGGAAGTCACTCTACCAAGACTTCCGTCAAAGACGAAAGGTTTGCGCAAAAATTTGCATGATTCTAACAGAATCTTGCTGATCTGGATTCTATAGGACATTTGTAAACTACTTAGTTATCCTGCCCCCGATTGGCCTCCAATAGAGAGGTCTCCCTAGGACCATCTCCTTGGCTTTTACGGATACTTCTCTTGCCATCATATTTCCATTCGCGGCATATGGAACGGCGTTCAGGGTCAGGCATGCGCAATGCCAATCTGCTTGCTTACATAGATTGTTCATCGTTCAATGTATATCTCTAAATAATGGGTGTTTGGTGCTTTTATGTGAAGTCAATTCGATGGTTACCGCTACTAATAAATACTGTAGATAATTTGACTGTATTGTGACTTTTAAGAAGGGCCAAAACAAAAATAAATCACGAAGGCGAATGCAAAAGCTGTTAACTAAGGACTTCGGATAATGCGTGTCTATAAACCTAGTCACGAAGAACGACCACTGACAATCTTGCTCGGCTGCTCGAAATGACCGGGTGGCACAAAAGGCCGTCCGAAACTATGAGGGAACCGGATCCTTGCAAATAGTGCATAAATTGTCGGATAGCATATGGTAACTTGTGGATTAACATGGTTTAGTATAATAGCCTTGAGTATTGTGGAGATATCAGTTGCAGAGGCCGTAAGACTCTTGTTGACTACATTGTGGGCAGTCAGTCCCTAGGAAGTGAGCTAAAAGTCACAGTCCCTGGCTCTCTAGGCACGGCCAGGGTGGGGTATTGTCGAAACCATGTGGATATAAGGTCAAACAAGTAGACTGCCTGGTTGATGTGAAGCAGAGCATTCGACGAGGTCCCTCCATGGTAAGCAGACTTGACAGTTTCTAGAGGTTGTTATTAGGATTGACGTTCAAGTCGCACTGCTGCCAAATGGTCATGCATGCCAGGGCACTTAGAACGCTTCGAGAGCAGGAGTATTCGTGACCACCCGCCGCAAGGAGGATATCACCGCAAAAATGCGGCTGCAAGAACCATGTGGCACGCGCGGTCAAATTTCGGCCGCATATTCTGACAGCAGTCCAACAACAGTTGGGAGCTGCGCGCCTTGAGGGCGGAAGATCTATCACTCGAGATCAATCATCAACATTCAGCTCAAGTAACCCATTCCCTTTCTCCACCACTGCCAAACACCTCGCTGTTCCATAATACTTCCAAATTCCTTGACGGACTCAACTTCAGATAGTCCCACGTTCGGTAAAGTTGGTATACCTGAGATCTGAGAACGGCTGCCTGGCTTCCAGTCTTCGGTTTGATCATCTCTTGTTACCACTCCTGGTCGGCTAACAAGCTGGAAATCCTTGTAGCGCAGGTTTCGCACCACATCGACCCATGACTCCACAGAGTTCATATCCTGGGATTCAACATACATGATCCCTGGACATCCGCCAGAGCGGAGAAGTACGAAACAGTTGTGCGTGTCAGCTGCTCGTTTCAAGGCAGACACTTTCTTGCGAGATGTGATATGATGGGTGCGAATGAGGGCATTGTAGAGCATCTTGACGGTTGGAGGTCACCAATCAGAGGCAGTATGTGGTCGTGCCGCTTCCGAACAAGAAGGTACACAAAATTGCACAGAGGTGATTAAAGTCGTATGGTTGTTCGATATTGCCAATCATCACCGCCTTTATTTCAATTCGTGGAGATATGACGTCATATATGTCGAATACTAAAGTCACTCGACTAAGAAGGTGTCTTAAACCATTTCTAGCGTAGTAGGAATAGTAGCGCAATACGTTTTCAACATCATACAGACCGGTCGGTCTCAGGATTCACGCACAACTGCTCATTATTGACTGCTACATCGTTACCATGGCCGTTGCTCGATATCGGGAGGGATATCTAGTCTACTTGATGGTGTCAAGCTCTATACTGATTCAGATCTTGGTGACGGAAGGCGAAGAGGAAACATCCAGCTACGCTCATTTGAGTTTCTGAAGCGAGCATCAAGATTGAATGTGCTGAATTGACTTTGAACTCCTGGATCCACGTAGTAAGTTGATTCAGGATAGAAATGCATCATAAGCTTAAGAATGAGCAAACAAAGAGTGCAGCTAAAGGATACTCATAGGTCAGGTTTTGAAAGGACTTCGCCCTATGGGATCTTATATGCTTGACCCTGAACCCCAAAGTGGCTCGATCGCAGCACTAAAAGAAAACTGAAATAGAGCAAAGGGGGTCAGTTCAGCCAGGGGCTCCTGCGAAGTTTATGGCAATCCCATACTTCTACGCGAGCCTTGGTATATTTTGTTTCGAATGCTTGCACACCTATTGCATCACTGGAACGGAACACCGGAGTCGAATTCCTACATGTCCTTCTTTCTCTTGCTGCTCTCTACAAATGGAGATAATGTCCGTTCTTCGGGTTGGAAAAGAATGGTATTGAATTGAGCGGGCTTCAGCAAGCGATTCTCACGGATTGGTTACGTTATCGTGATGACTCTTTTCGTTGTGAGCCATCCTCACTAGAGCCTCTTTCGTGATCCCTAACCATGATAGCCGGCAAGTATCATAGATGATATATACCCACGATACGTGGAACATATGTCATGATGATGATTCGGAGGTGCATTTCCGTTGGGGGGCCTATATCAAGACTGCAATGCTTCCCACATTACCCTCTTGTTCCGAATATGTTCAGGCTTTTGGGCATTCTCGAAGTATTGCATCTAGAATAGAACCGACAAACCCCTTCACCTACAAAAATCATGTCTGAATCAGCTAGGGCGATCATCTCCGAAGTCTCGGGCCATGACCTTGATAGATGGCTACGGCCATCTACATTCACGAACGAGCTAGAAGAGGTAATTGCGTGTCCACTCTGAGAGATCCTGGATTTCTATCATTGCATTTTCCTTTTGAAAACTCAAGGCTTATATTTCGCAGTCTATTAGAGGCCATATTCACGAAGAATTAACGAGCTGGATCTTTTTTCGAAAGCTCGCAGCAGACTGTTCGCGAGCCAACGTTGCTCTGCATGGATTTGCCATGTATGTCACCTAATAATTCCTCTCGACGTTGGTAGCGTCGCCTGCAATACTGGATTATTGACTGCATTTCGCCAATCAGGCTCTGGGAAAGGAGCGCTAGGGAGTGCTTGATCGATATGCAATGGCTAGAGAAATATCTTGTCAGCCGCGGAGGTCGGTGTAAGCCAACAAACATCGAGGCGCCAAAAGTTGAATGGCCTGATACACCTATCGAGCCTATTGGGCCTTGTCGGGAGGCCTTCACTGTCCAGAAAAAGCTTTTCACGGACTTGGAAAGGCTGTGTACTTTGGCTGAGAAAAGCCAAGATACCGCCTTACTAAATGCGGTTGAGTCGCGCTTCTTGCGAAAACATGCGAAGCATTTAAAGAACATGGGCGATCTCCTACAACAAGTGGCCCGAGTGTCAAAGCAGCCCGGACTAGGCTTATACCTCATCGATGCAGAATTGCGTCATAATACTGGCTACATCCCCTGGATGTCTATGAATGATCCTGATATGGTCGATTCAGGAATCAGGGCTGTGACAAAGAAGATCAGCGAGGGACTCGCGCTTCAGTTACACCATGAGGGAGGAGGAGAACACGGAGCGAAGGAGTCAGGACACCGTTGAGAGATTCACTATGTCGATGGCTCGTACGGAGTACATTCGCTGAATGTAGGCCTAAGCTTGAAAATTTGAGATGAGAGCGGGAACGAAGGTCAAGGTTGAGTTCAATGAAACATCTTGCACCCCATTGCTTTCGTTGCTTCACCCTGCTTGTTGGGATTCCATATGCATCACCTTGTCTCGAAAATTAGAGCAGACAGCGAATTCAAAGGCTTGTGGCCAAGAATACTCAATTACGTAGAGTAATATTGCACTGGAATGATTCACTTTGTATGTCAAACAAAGTATACGCGAACACTACTTTTATCCCTCCCTCTCGACTTCCTTCGTATCCCTATTCGCGCTATACTACTATATTCCATTTTGATCTTCAGGCAAAGCTGAGCTAACGACCAACAGCACCATACCAGCAGAGACCCAAAATACCGCCAATAATGATCGCGATCGCTGGAGGCACCTTGAACCAAGCATTCTCCGCATAAGTAACCGCTGCAACAACGACCCACCATGGCTCAAGAGCAAGACTCTGGCCATTACTGGCTTTGGGTGTCAAATATCCAATTTCCCACAGCCTGTATACAGCAGTGAACACCAGACCCACGGCAGCAGCATTGACTCCTCTAAGCCAGTCGACAACCCACTTTTTCTTACGGAGCACTCTCCAAAAACTCTGCACAGCAACTGCCAGCGTGATGCCAGGCAGGAAAATGCCGATGTAGCCAAGGAAAGCGCCGAATATAGTCGGGAACTGGGACTTCTGAAGCGCGAGAGCTCCAAGGAAGACCGCAAAATTGAAGTTGGGGCCAGGGAATGCTTGGATAAGAGCCAGGCCAATCAGAAAGTCCCTGCCGGATACCCAGCCAGGATCAACGACATAGGAACGCAGAAGAGGAATCACGACGGGACCTCCTCCGAAGATGATTGTTCCGGCCAGATACATGTTGGCAAACAAGTCCAGGGCAAGTGGTGGGTAGTTGATGACCCCTCTTGCCACCAGGATTGCAATGAAGGAGGCTGATTTGGCGGTCAGCAAGAATCATGGCTAGATATGAAAAGCTGGAGGACTTGAGCGAAAAAGCAGGAACGTACCAAAGAAGACAACACAGACCGTGATCCCAACACGGATCCGGATGATATGATCCTGAGAAGCGCTGACCTCCAACGACTCAGTTTGCGCATCGGAAGCAGTTTCTGGAAGAGATGTTGCCTGTCCAGTCTTCCGTGAGCGTACGGTGCCTTGATTAGGAGGAGTGCTGCGCATCTGGCTGTCTTGTTGCTCTTGAAGCTCCACTTCATTAGGGACGCCATTTTCCTGCCTTGCCTCTTCGGGGTGGCTGTTTCTTCGTCTCCATTTAGCTCTGGTTTTACGGATATACTGGCTCATCCATCCGTCCCATACAACGGTTGACAGACCACCAATAACCATGAGAAG